AACACGTCTGACCCGAACAATCTGCTGCTGCGTTCTTCATATGTAATATGAGGAGGAAATTTAACTTTGATTTTCTCAAACCTTCTCAAATCATTATTTTATTCCATTTACCTAATTCAAATTTGTATTCTATATAATAACTTTATAATTCTTGCTGGGCGAAGGCTGCCGCCATCTTTCACCGACCCTCCTCCTCTCCAGGGAGATCAGGGGTCACTGTCCACCAGCAACTCTTTATCTTGCTCAAGGGCACTTCAGCAACTTTACTTTCATGAGCCGTGACCTTTCCTCAGTCACTGTCATCATTTCTTAAGTATTTTTAACTCAGTCCCTGCTTTGTGCTGCTCCGCCTCAACCTGCATTTATTAATCAAGGTTGATCCTCATTTGGAGTACAAGGGAAGTCATTTGGGACAGCCGTATCCATAGCAACAAAGAATGATAATTTCTGTGGATTAGCTGCGGAGCATCGGTTACGTAAAGCGGGTCTGTCTGAGAGGCATCTCTTATGTTGTTGTGCTTGAGTAAGTTCTTGAGGGCCTCAGAGCTGCAAAACAAATAGTTTCTACTGTTTAAAAGGTTTAGACTGTAATTAAATGAAAAGTAAACCAAAACCCAACCTGCACTGAAAACCGGTTATACAAGAAAGCAAATATGACAAGTATGAATTTACAGCCACGCAAATTTTGTGAAGTATACGGAACAACAGCAAAGCAGGTAGTTATTTTTCAGTTACTTGCTAATTTACTATGTTAATTTAGTCATGCATTATCATTAACAATAAAGAAGTAAAATTTGCAGTATTTGTCGTTAGTTGAGCAAAATTTAACTGATTAAAAAACTTTATTACATATATATTGATGTGAAAAACTTGTGTTGACTATGATTCTCTGACCATAAGAAGCAGATTGTAAGCAAATACATAAACTTCATCGTCTCATACTCTGATCAACCATCAGGGAGCACAAATTAATCGTGGACAACTGCACCGTATAGTTTGTCTATGGGCTTTTGCTGATGCTGACATGCATAAAACACTGAAATGTGTGTGTGTGTGTGTGTGTGTGTGTGTCCAGAGCAGTGATGTCAAAGCAGGGATTAGATTGGCTTATATTGCCCAGAGCAGCACATTTGCAATTCAGTGAACATCACACTCGGGTTGCCAAATCGCTGATTATGTTAGTTTAACTATTTTGCGTCCAGTGGAGCCGCCATCACCTGCTTCCACTTTGGGTTTATATCCAGTGAGGGTTTCTGTGAGTCCTCTGATTTGGAGCATGATGCCTTTAAAAGCATCTGCACCAGAGTGCCTTACTTGACTCTGGCTAAAAAGCACAGAGTAATGATGTTCTAAAAATACACCATTTTTGTTGGAAGAGGAGCAGCGATCGGGCCAGAGAGTCAACAGGCGAGTGTGCAGGGCCTGCGCAGAGTACCACAGCAGACACATCACACACAGGCTGTGGACCAGACCACTTGCAGTACACACACAACTGGCTGTTAGTGGTTTGAGAAGGGAAGCTGCCGTCTCACCCAGCACGCTCCCACATGAGTCAGGCGCAGCGTGCAGACAAAGCAGGCAGACCTCAGCGTCGTAAAGAAGCCAACGAGAGAGAAAGCACTTCTGCACATCCAGCAGTGCATTTGACAGCATGTGAAGCGGCTCGGAGGTAAATGGATGTGCGTTTAGTTTCTCTCCGATGTTAGTTTGCTAGGGTTTAAAAGCGAGACATAAAATATTTCCAGGATGCCGTGAAATGAGTGTTTAAGAGAGAAAAGAGAGCAAAAAGGACCCATAAAGAGTTCTTGTAAACACGAAGCAGAGTCAAGGCTTCTTACAGTCCAGCCAGTTAGTCTAAAACTTTCCATCAAAGCCTCGGTGAGCTGCATGGAGTAATTACCGCTCACACAGCAACAGCTCCCAGGCCTTATTACTGATACTGTTTGTGTAGGTGTGCATGCATGTGTGTGTAAAGGTGTATGTGCTACACACTCGCACAAAGTAGATGAAAATGCCTCCATGTCCTGGTCAGGCAGAGAATGTGTGTTTCCGTGGGTGTGTGCCTATAAAGTAACAGCGCCCCCAGAGTGTGTCCTGTGTTTTCAGATGTAAACCAGCTTGCAGGAGTGATACACCGAGAGATGATGTTATGACGGGTCGCTCCTGCACAGAGAAAGCCCATCCACCGTGCTGCTCCCAGAGTGCAGTCTGGGTAAAAATACGCAGATCCAGATGAGAAAGACAAAACTTTTCATAAATCACTCACAGCAAGAAAACCTCACGCAGTGCTGAACACACCCGAAGGCATCAATCTTATCAACAACAACAAAATGTACATTGATTTTAACGCAAATTTGTTGATCGTTACATAACATCTGCTTTTGAGAAGTATTTGATAGTTCTTCAAAGGTAGCTAGAGCAGGCTACACTTGCAACCGATACATCCCACACCCTTGAACCGGAAGATGAACGCGCTCTGACTGCAGGAGGCCGATTTTTCCCGTGAATCGCTCACTAACTTCTGGCTATCATCTCTGCTTCAGCGTTGTGTGCCTCTCATGCTTCAGAGAGCAGGGGCAGAGTGTGCGCAGGCAGGCAGGCCGCTGAGTGACAGGCAGGTACACCAGTGAATTGGTCGTTTAGACAAAGGCTGAAATAGGAGCTGCAGCAATGGACAATATGAAGGAAGGTTTTCTGAACATTAGAGCATGTAAACCTTTTCAAACTTTCAAATCATGTACCTGCAGTACTTGAGTTCATGAGTGGAGTTCTAAAAACCTGCAAACCCTGATAATCTGTGAAATCGTGTGGAGAATCTGCTCAAAACCTCACAAGATTTTCTGAGAGCTTGAGGAAAAAGACAAGCTAAGTAAGGGGTGGGATAATTTTCTTTTTTCTCCATGATTGGTGTTTCATTACATTTCATGGAGTGAATCACAAGCTATTCAGGGTCAAAGCAGCTCATGGTCGCTGTTACATAAATGTTTTTTAGAATATACCTGACTGAGATTAAAACTGCCTTTATCTTTGATGCGACTGATCAGTTTTTATTTTCATTCTTGGCATTTTCTGAACTTTATATACACATAAGCCTAAAGGGATTGTCTGGAATGCAGACTTTGTGTGTCTCATGATTTAACTGCTCTCTCAGAGGCATTTTTTCAGGAAACACTGAGTAGTTGCCATGTTTTGGTTTGAAAAAAAAATAATTATCAGGGAAAATATAATCTTTTGGATGAGGGTTTACGTCATCCTTCTAAATTAACCGCTACTTGCTGCAGTAAAAATTTCCCAAAACATGATTCATGACCCCAAATGAATCCGTCAATGTTCGAGCTTCAAACTCATGTGAATAGGAGCTGAATTGAGTCTTTTCGCCGACACAATGACCAGAAAAAAAAGAGGAACTGCAGAAAACTGATTAAATCAAACGCCTGTGACTAGCGTGAAAGTTCAACAGCCTCTTCCAGCGTTACTCATAACAGAGAGTTTATTCATCTCTCACTCAGGGCAGATTCTAAATGTCTAAATAACGTACACCCCGATGTTTCCACATTTCACCGCATCATCAGACGGTTGTATTTTTCCGGTGGGGGGGTTGAAATGGAAGGCCTTCAGCAGCCAGTAAAACTTATTTGGGTTTGGAGTCGGCCAGCTTCCTGCCAGCAGCATATAGCAAGAGACATAAAACCCCGACCCAAAAAACCTGAAGTAGACAAGTGTTCATAAAATATCTCTGGCCATGCAGGGAGTGTTTGAAGGTGGGGTGAATAAAGGGAGGAGAGGGATTTTAAAAATGGAGCAATGGAGCAAATAATAAGATTAGCTTTTTATGTCACCCCACTGTTTTACTGCAGTCAAATGAATACTGTAAATATAAATATACACATTAACAACATGGGCTGTTAGATCTTTGCTTATTCCTGTCGGTCACCCTGTGCACAGAGGTCAAAGGCCAGCGATTTATTACCTCTGCCAAGGAGGTTCAGTTTTCATTAGTTTGATAGTTTGTCTGTTAGTTAACAGCGTTACAGAAAACTATTGGACGGATCGTCATGAAACTTGTTGGAAGGATGCAGCATAAGTCAGCATAAGGTAAAATCTCTGACCTATTTCCCAGGGAATAATAAATGGATCTAGATGAAAAGTATCAGGTATATTTAGGGGACTGATATCTATTAGCATGTGCAATTTGGTGCAGCTTGAGTTCTACTAATTACGTGCTTTTTGCTTGATTAATATAATTACGTGTAGTTGCATTTTAAAACAAACCCTCAAAAATCTGCACAATGGTGTGAAAATAGGAAGTATCACAATCCTGTATATTGCTTCACTTTTGCCCCCGTAATCACAGATGAGTAAATTACGGTTGCATGACTCTACACCTAGAAGTGGTGAAGCAGGATGATGATAATGACTCACACACGTCTGATGTGATTCAGTTTACAGCTCACTACAGAGAAATGAGCGTGTAGGGAGTGAATGAAGGAGACAAACAGAATCGCTTGGTAAGAGAAGAGAATGATTATGATCAAGCAAAAGGGAAGGATTACAAAATATTACAACGAGGAAGTTTAGGTGATTATCTTTAAATAGAGACACATTTCTGCACATGCAAGGACTTTTACTTCCTATAAAAATACTTTATACTTTTGAGTATATTTTGATGCTAATACTTTTGTTCTTTTGCAAAAAAAAGTACTTTTACTTGTAGTTTTTCTTTCTACATTGTGGCAATAAAAAATAAAATACTGCTCTGTTTTTTTCTCATGTCACTCATATCTGATCTTACACGTTTTTCTTTCACCACTGAGTGAAAGCAGCATCTTTGCATTGCGTCGTTTTGAATTTTGTTATTATTATCGTGCATTCATTACTTTTATATTAATGACAAAAACCAGTGGGAGTATTAAAACACTCACGTCCTCTCAGGTTCTTTTGTGTGCGACCGTCATCTTGTGGACACGAAGCAAAACAACGCTCAATACGGAACTGGGCGTGTGTCGTCATCACTGTGCGCCGGTCCCTCCAGCTCAACATGTGAGGGAAACACGGGGACGTTTTATTTTGACATTTAACTTCACTCATGTGAATCTGCACAACACTAAATGCGACGTTTACGAGCTTGAGTCTAACTTTTAACTCCACGTGACGACTTTAGCCTGAACTCGCTTCACTCCCCTGGTCGTTTGTTTATTAGCCTGCAGCATGGACAACACGGAGGAAAGTACGATTGAGCTCCACGGAGACGAGGAAATTATTGAAGTCATCGAGCTAAACGAGATGGAGCCGGGTCCTGGTGGGTAGATCAACAGTCTGCAGCTAACCTGGACGCTCTTAGCAGTGTTTACCAGTGACAACCAGTGCTAACGTTGATATATGTTTGTTTTTGCTGACTGGAATCAGACTGACTGTTTCTCTGTGTTTCTATAAGATGATCTGGCTGAAAACCTGGAAGATGTTGACTTCGAGGAGCCCGGAGAAGCAGATTTTGATGACAATGAAGGCTGGGAGACGGAGGATGAGATGGAAGCGGAGGCAGAGCAGGATGACAGCGAGCTCACCTTCTCCAAACACACCGGTAACATCCTGTGTCAGATCTGTGATGTTGGTTACGCTCTGGCAACTCGAGCCTGGTGAAGGTTTGATTTTATCTCCCCTCTCCTCTGTCCAGGTTCGGTGTTTTGCGTGAGCTTGGATCCTGCGACTAACAGCTTGGCTGTGACAGGAGGAGAGGATGATAAGGCCTACGTGTGGAGGGTGAGCAACGGAGAGGTGCTGTTTGAGTGCAAAGGTGAGTGGTGTGTGTCACAATCAGGGTTCGAACAGTTACAATTTGTCAAAGCCCAAGTTGACGTATTCAGTCTTGTTTTCTCTCACTTGTTTCCATTCTTGTTATATCAATTTGCTCTTACTTTCCCCTTTAACTGCTGCTACTGGTCACCTACCCTCAGACGTAAGAATCAGTGGCAGGGTATTCTCAACGTGTGCAACAGAATTGCTGGCATGACCCTAAATGACCCTCATCACCTTTAAAGGTCCTGTAGCTCTACCAAGATGCAGAACTAATAGATTTGTAAAATAATTTATCCTTGCAGCCATCGGCCCTCTAAATGACTCACTGTGATGTATTTCTTGTTATTATGTGGTTTGACCATATATGGTTACTCCTGGCTGTACAACTTATTGCTCCTCTGGGATAACAAAGATACCTTGAACTTTAACTGCAACATATAAATCGGGTAACCTCATCTGAAATATGGAAACTGAGGCGCCCTCCTGGAGCCAGGGCCAGGAGTGGAGCTTGCAGGCAAGCATCTGATGGCCAGGCCTTGACCCTAAAAAATAACAGGGAGCCGCAACCCATCCATCTGAAATGGAGATTAGTAACTTTGGCTGAACTGCTCATGTCTTGGCTCAGATTGGCTGAAGACGTCTGAACATCGGTGCAGTTAAATTATGACCCTTTCCAACAGGCCATGAAGACTCTGTGACGTGTGCCATGTTCAGCCACGACTCCTCGCTGGTGGCTACGGGTGACATGAGCGGCATGATCAAAGTTTGGAAAGTGGAAACCAAAGAGGAGATCTGGTCTTTTGAAGTGGCAGATCTTGAGGTAAAGGGCTTCGGGAAAAATCCCAAAAAACTGCTTTGTCACCCTGAATGTGTGTTTTTAGTTTGTGCGTGTGTAAGCACTTGTGTATGTGCTTTTATTGGGGCTGAAGGACTTTATGCACAAACACTAACACTGAGGTTTTGTTGGGTTTTTTGTGGTGGAAATGGGGGATCGGAAATTCTCCTCGAGCTTAACCGTGACTGCCAAGTTGCCCGTCAGCAAGGCAATCACTAATAATGATTACAAGATCTGCTCATTGCCTCTAGTAGAAAAATGCATATAATCCGTGTGTAAAATACCTGTTAATCTGCGGTCGTCTGCGCTGCTTCCTCCTCAGTGGTTGGAGTGGCATCCCTGTGCTCCGGTGCTGCTGGCGGGAACAGGCGACGGCAACGTGTGGATGTGGAAGATCCCATCAGGAGACTGTAAAACCTTCCAGAGTCCTGCGTGCCAGGCCACCACCGGCAAAGTCCTCCCTGATGGTGAGGGAAAAGAAACTAAGACACAGAGCCATACAATTTAAAGCACTTTAGCCTGGGACCATATTTATCAAGCCCAGAATAATGTGATGTGTAAAAAGCAATATTTATGACCATAAATAATAGTTTTGCTTCAAATTCAAATGTGTATCTTTTTTTTTTTTTGCCTGCACACTGGTAACACCTAGTGCATGTAGACTGAAGCTGCACTGGTCAGTGAAGGCAGACAACAGCTGGATAGGTAGTAATTCTAGTTTTATTTGTTCTCAGGTAAACGGGCTGTGGTGGGATACGAGGACGGGACAGTACGTGTGTGGGATTTGAAGCAGGGCAACGCCATCCATGTCGTTAAAGGTGAGTCTGGCAGCTCTATTGTGTCATTTAATCCTCCTTTTACCTTTTACATTTAATGCTTTAACTAACTTTTTAGTAAAGGTGACTTAAAATGAGCACATAGATGTATGTTCCCTCCAATTATATACATACAGAACACAAGACTCACAAACTTACTACACATACCTCTCTTAATTGTGGTCAATGTTTGGTCCATCCCTTTTTAACAGGTCAGGACGGACACCGGGGAACGCTGACCTGCCTGGCGTGCAACAAGGACAGTTCTCTGGTGCTGACGGGTTCAGTGGACGGCTACGCCAAGCTCATCAACACTGCTACGGGCAAGGTGGGTGTCATGACAACGCTATGATAAAACAGCCTGGAAAGGACAGAGGGAATAATTGTTTTTCTGTAAGTAGTATTATGAAGACTAAGACACAATTCAGTGCAATAAAACAATTATTACCCATTATACCCGTATATCACCCGTTTTATTCTTTTAAAGAGTTCTCTTTCAATATCTGCTCTGGTGTGTGTGTGTGTGTGTGTGAAGGTTGTTGGAGTATTCTCTGCGGAGGGAGGCAACGCAAAAGGATCGAAAGACGAGGAAACATCCGTTGAATCTGTGGGATTCTGTAACATGTGAGTTCTTAAGTATTGTAAAGTTTAGGAAAGTCACCAGCTACTGACAGTTTGACAGTTTCTTCATCCAGGGCTGAAATAATATTTTGTGATTTTACCGCTCAACTGAAATGGATGATTAGATAAGTCACTGTTGATCTTAATCAGGAAATTGATTCAAGAGCTTGTCTTTTAAAAATATTTGTCTCCTGAAGTGCAGGTGTGTGATAAAGAAATCTGTATTTTTCAGAGTCGACATTTGAAGCATAAAAGAGTGTGCATCAAAAACCTGTTTGGATTTTTATAGCTAAGCTCTAAATGAGGGTAAGAGGAGCGAGTGTTAGTAGTTTTCTTCAAAGTCCTGTGATAAGAAAAATCGACCCTGCTCCTTGAGGGATGAAATATAGCAAAAATAACTTCATAATTAATAGTAAGAGAAAAGTTCTGATACTTAAGAGACGTCAGAGTAGTGAGGACAATCTGGGGTCGTCTTTGTATGCTTTGTGGTTCACAGCTTATTCCTTTTTTTTTTTTTTTTTTTTTAAATGTGTCATCTCTCTTGTTGGTGCCAGCCTGCCTCTCATAGCGGTGGCATACCTGGATGGGACTCTGGCCATATACGACCTCTCAACACAGGTCCTGAGACACAGGTGCCAGCACGAGGTAACCAGCAGCAGAAAGAGGGGGGGCGGTGTCTCATTTGGAAATGCATATGTTACCTTGAACTCCTCTCTTGTGTTCCTCCAGGCCGGCATCGTTCACTTGAAGTGGGAAGAGTCTTCTTCTATGGTTTCCACCTGCAGTTTAGACGGAGCTCTGCGCTTATGGGACGCTCGCTCTGGCAACATGGTGTCCGAGTACCACGGCCACACCGCAGAAATCCTCGACTTCGCCGTCAACAGGTACGACTGCGTCACAAGATAGATAGCTGCCCTCGTTAAGGCTCGGGCAGGTCTGATACTCTTGATCTCAGTCCAACTGTCTTTGTCTATCTGTCCATCAGGGATGCGTCTCTCGCAGTCACCACCTCAGGAGACAACCAGGCGAAAGTCTTCTGCCTCCAAAGACCCGACCGGTAGAACAAGCTGGAAGAGACGAGACAAGAAGAACAGAAAGATATTTTTAAAAGAAATATCTGAACATTGTTCACTTCTCCTCAGGATTTTAAACAATTGTCACATGTGGTCTCACCATTTTATCTTTTGCAGTGGGATTGTAGCATCCAACACATTATTTCTCCTTTTTTCATCAGTAATTCATTAAAACCTTTTTAAAGTAACTGAGTGTAAAAGGAAGTTATGGTCAGCAGATCTCATCTTAAAGTTTGAAGTGTGATTCATAAAAACAAGCCGCTCCTCGTTACTTTTATCATGCACACACTGACAAAAAGTGGAGTTCAATGAGTGATACATTATAGTGTCCTGTTTTTGACATCCCACTTAATATTCTGTCTATTAAAATGTTTCCGAGATACAATTTCATTTCTTCTTTATGATTATTTTTATTACAATTGGATTTTTTGTATGCTAAATGTCAAGATGACATTTCCCTCTCGTGTGTGTGTGTGGTCTTCCAGCTCTGACTTATCTCTCCAAACTTTGATGTAAGCTAAAATGTAAATACAAAATAATAAATAACATGAGTAATTATGAAAATTCATTTTCAACCACAGCCTGTGTTCTTTGTGACAAATGTCTGCAACCAAGGAATTAGTTTATAACTATTTTTGTCTGTTTACCCACTTGGCTCAGGCTTGGAGACTGAACTGGTCATTGTTTGGTTCATGGTGACATGGAAAGTCTGGGGGAAAAAAGCAAAAAGCTTCTTAAATTCAAGTGGCCTCTCGACTTTTTTGGACCATACATTGATTTTAGTTGGATCCAGATGTTTTATATTTACTTTTATCAGATAAGAATAAAAAAGGAGACGAGTTGGTTTGGAGTCAACAGGAATCTTAAGGGAGTAGATCTCTCCAAAACTGCAGCAGATGTCTGATGAAAGACAGGAAAAAACTAAATTATCAGTTTTGACTATTTTACAATTAGTTCAAAAGATGTCATTCAGAGCATTAATTAAGTTATAAATCCTTGTGTCCTTGCTTCAGCGACAAATATCTGTCTCCTGTGGGTAGTTAACTTTAATATGGCTTGATCCTCAATGAGATTCTGTGAACCTGAAGTCGGTCTGACTGGCACCAAATTCACCCCTGGGATCCCACCGACCAGAAACTTATTTTTATCATCATCATCATTTGAGGAAAACAACAGTCTGATCTGGTCTCAGCCTTAGCTTGCTGCCAGACTCCAGGGTGAAATTTAGAAGTACAATGATTTTTAGTGGTATTATTCAGTTTCACAGTTGAAGAAAACATGCAAAAGAGGTGTACGATAATATGTTTACATCTTCTTTTGCAGAATTATCTTCTACAGAGAATAGGCCCAAAGGTGACACAATACTGTAAAACATATAGTAGTATTAATATTTCCTTCCAAGGATAAGAAACTCAATCTGATCATTATTTAAATTCACAAGATCCACATTTGTAAATCTTGCTTACGATCAAACAACCCAACCAACACAATCATCAGCAGTGGAGGGGAGAGAGAGGTAAATATGGGGTTTACCTTTATTTGGAAATGGGTGATCAGTGGTGAGTTCATGATCCTTCACGTAAGGTTCCTCCGTCATTACGGCTGGTGGGCTTTATCTGGAAAAAGTACAATGACGTTAGTGACTACCTTTTAAATGTTTTCATCAGAATGACTCAACAGCAAGTGGGTGTTCTTGGTTATGCAGAATCAAGCGAGGAGGATGACTGTGTGTGACCTCATATGTTCATGTTTGTAGATTTGCAACATAATCATAAATATATAGCTTTGAATCTTTGTGTTTGTAAATTAATTTGATCCTGTTATATATAAAGGCCGCAGTATTATAGTACTTAATTATTGAAAAAACCCCTCAGCAGTGCAAACTTTACCATCTTGTGTACAGTTACTTATATGAATGTATATTCTGGTTCACAGGAACTGAAACTACTTCCTGACAAGACTGCTGCACTCCTCCCAGCTCCTCCTCACACACGTTTCAAGGTCCAAGCCTCTATTCCTCTGTTCTTTAAACTCCATTGTTGTTCTGCCCTTTATTTTCTCTACTCCCTGGTTCCTCTCCTCTCCGCTGTCCGTCACACTGAGGAAAAACAACTCCTGACATGGTATCCTGTGCACCAAGTGCTTCTTCCTTCTACCTGGATTCTGAGCTCACGCAATCATTGTGTGTGTCTGACGATGTACTTGTGCACAAGCATAACTCACTCACACGGACAGGCGGTGATGCACTTACAAGCACAAACATGGTTGTGCATTGTTCAGGCAGATAGTGTGTAATGAGCAGATGCAATTCAGCTCAAATACACAGGGCTCTCTTTATTGTGTTGTTAATAAAGACATTACTGTTAATTAAAACAATCTGACTTTCATGTGTTGGAATCACAATGAATTCTACTTCAACCCAAAACACTTAATTTCATTTTAATAAAACTGGTGATAAATTCTGTTTGGCTCTGTGTCCAGGCAACTGATGGTTTTAAAAGACAAAGCCTATGTCAATCAATCAATAGAGGCACTCACTAAACTGAAACGCAACTGATCGGTGGATATTACCCATGATGCCCAGCTTCCTAAACCAGAAGAGCTGCCGCTGTGACAGATACACCAAACCCTGTTTAGAATTCTTCATATTTTAAAACTTTCCTTGCTGAATGCTTGTTTTTAAGGTATTTTTCATTGATTTACAGTTAAGCATCACTCTGGAAATTTGCTGGGTCAGATTCTGACAACTGAAAATATCAATCCATTTCTGACAGGACATCGTTCCTGCTCACCAGGTTAAATAGAGCAACAACACACAGGGTGAGGAGTCAGGGCAACATCAGTTACATAAGCTGATTCCACAGTCTGACTATTCTCAATTTCTGCCCTCGTGACCCAGCCCATGCTTTCCTGAAACAAATGGTTGTATACAAAATGAACAATAAAACATGTATCATCATCCTGCAGTTTCAGCAGCAGTGTTTTTTACACAGCCGGGCTGAAGGTCAACTCACAACCAGGGGAAAAAGAACACCTGTCAAGTGTCAGCAGGATATTTTTCTCATCTGTCACAGCTTTGTGTTTGGACTCAAAGGTCAGTCAGACAAAGGCGAGGAGTAGTCTACAGGAGTATCACCTTTTAGACCTTGACGGGGCTGAAGTCTGATCTATTAAAGAGAAGCTCGTGTTCTCTGCAGGCCTCTGCGCTGACAGCAGATGTTGCTGCCAAGGTAAACATGTGTGGAGGAAGAGGAGGCAAGCCTGCTAACAAAGCATCTATTTCAGAAAACGGTCATGGTAACATTTTCTGGACAATATCTGCACAGATCAGGACAATTACTGATTTTAAAATATGATTAAGATTGGATGCAGTGACTTCTGTTTTCAATGATTGAAAACTACCTAGCATGTTTGGACATATCACAAGACAATGCTGGATAATGTTAGCATCACAAGACAATAGTGGGTAACATTAGCCAACACAATGTTAGCATCACAAGATAATAGTGGGTAACATTAGCCAACACAATGTTAGCATCACAAGACAATGCTGGATAATGTTAGCATCACAAGACAATGCTGTTTAACATTAGCTTGACTGGAGCGTTAGCTTTACTAGGCAATGCAGGATAAAATTAGCTTGCTAAATAATGTTAGCTTGCTGGATAACATTAACAAACATAAGATGGAATCTCCTTTGCCTGTTGAGGTCTATGTTTGACTCCATGCACCTTTGATTAATCACAACACACTCCACTTTGAAGTTATGCACAAACAATCCAGATTAGATCATTGATTTACTGTTGTATGGGACCCAGTGTTCCAGGAAACCCACCATGCTCCACGTCTTCCTGGGTAATTTGAAGATGTTGTGGTTTCACGTCCAGCTCGTCCTCCCTGCTCAGTGTCTCCCTCTCAGGAAGATCTCTGTTTAAAACCATTATCTGACTGGAGCTCATCCATCTCGGCTCCCAACTATCAGCCGAGGAGTCCTCCTGTGTTTGGGTAAGAGACCAGGTCAGAGCCGGCCTTCCATCCAACGCTGTGTTTAAATATGAGACGTCTGTGACAACTCTTATATACACCTACATGTTGGAAGTATACGTTAAGGCCGGTCCTGGGACAAATACATCTTAGCATTTGTTTTAACCAACCTGGGGTGTAGTGTGGCAGAGACTCACACTTTAATAAACTACTAAACAGTGTCTTAATTACTTAAATTACTTTTAACACCCAAATAACTCAAATATAATAATGTGATTACATTGAAGGTGGGTCCTTTAAAATCCATTCTCATTGTTAAATGAGTAAATAAGATTACTCCTGTTAGATTCAAACAGAAACTTGACATCCACGTTATATTTCGATTTAGATCCAATTTCCTGGCAACAACTGGGCTATTTGGTTGCAGATGATAAATATCATAAATATCGGGGGCTTTCTTGAGGATAGGGTGTGAAGACAAACAACATGCCATGCACTACACTGATGTTAACCTGGAATGTTCTTATCATTTTTCAGGCTGCTGGCGATTACAGCTTCCCATCGTCGTCTTCCATTCATGGATGTGCACTTCAGGCCTGGACAGTGGTGGCCAGAAATATGCAAGGGGCCAATAAAGGTAAGATTTGAGGGTTACTGGTTATTTCTGCCTCATCCAGTCCCCCCCGCCTCAGGAAAAGACAGACCTACACTAGTCTGTAACTCTCCTCCTCCTCCTCCTCCTCCTCCCATTCCAGTATGCACTTCCCCTTTAAAGTATCTGCAAGGAACAGGCGCACACTTTTCTTCTCTCTCTGCGTCTCTCTCTGGGTCAGTGGTGTGAAAAGGCTGCTAAGGCTGAGTGGACTGAAAGGATTTTAAATGATAATAGAAGCTCCTGTAGTTTGCGGTGGAGGTGGCACAAGCTGTGGGTATGAAATGCAGGGAGAAGTTAACAGGAGAGTGATAAGAAACTCTGTTTTACTTGAATTTCCTTTGGCAGAGGATACAAGTCTGGACTGTTCATCCCCAAAAGGTAAGAGTATTACTAGTTTGTGCATAAAAAGACAAAGATCAATATATATTTTTCTTGATATTCAGACCGGAGTGCAGGATTA